CTGGTAACACGCCTTGATGGCGAGATCGATTACACTTTGATGGCGAGCTGGCTAGTGGCGAGACTTCCTGGTGGCGAGGTGACTGCCTATCGAATGGAGGATTTAGAAATTCAAGACGCTCGAGCGAAGAACTATTGACAGAGCATTCACGAGGCACTGAATACACTCTTCAATTGAATTTGCAGTGATCGTGGTCAAACTAAGACTGGAGAAAGATCTGAAACAGACTGTAGTTCCACAGAAACTTGGGTGCATCAGAACATTTAGGAACGTCTGAGGAAAAATGTTTTTATATCGAATCAGAAAAAGCAGAGGAAAAACCACATAGACAGGGTCTTTTACCGGTTTAAATACGTTATTATAAACAGAAATAAAAGCAATAGCCTAAATATCTTTTTGAGAGAAACCTTTGCTTATAGCCGGTTTATAATCTTAAGGTTGACACGCGGGATAGGGAGATGTATGTCATAAAAGTTTTGTTATCTGAAGATCACAAAAAGTTCAAAACATCTGGAATAGGCATCACAGAATATTTATGTTCATTTTCGAGCTGAAACCCTACGGGTGAAACGCTCAGCTGTATTAACTTTGGCTTCCATTTCGATTTGGATCGCCTTTAAGAGGAAGTACTTCTAGAAACGGTATAAACGATTAAAACTAGATTTGGCATTTACCAACGTAAAATGGATCTTCTTGCAATGAAAATACGAGTAAAATACTAATATATAAAGAAATAATACCGAAGAACTGATATCATGACATTGTCATGAAACTTTCCACTTTCAGTTCTGTACTTGTCAGTTTCCAACAACTCACACAGATGAAGACCTTTAGAGTCATGGTACCCGGCCATGTTGAACGGATAACACTTTGGTTTATTCACATAAAGCAAGGCACAGGACGACTGACCTTCCACCCTGAACAATGTTAGCTTCCCTCCCCAAAGATACTTAGGGGAATTACGTCTTAAGCTACCAAAAGAAACAGCACCTGTTGGAGATCGATGAGGATGAACCAGATGCAGAAAGTATAAATGTAAATTGGGCAGAAAGAAGGAGAACCGACAGAAGAGACGCCATGGTGTGCTGTCTCATAACTGAAGCAGATGATAGACTAAGTGAATTATCAACTTAACATTACAAAAACAAATGCTGTTAAGCTGTATTATATTTTTTGCTTTGTTTCATTCGCTAGTGGATAATTTCTAATCACAAGCACATCCACACACGCTTATGTTGCTTTCATTTTTTTTTCTTCTTTGAGACAAGCACACGCCTTTGATGAAAATTGTTTTTTCTCCACCAAAATACTTAAATACTTTTGGTTTCTTTCGAAAGGATCTTTATATTACAACGTTAATTCTTTACTATTTGCATGCCATGAAATACCAAATGCCTGTTTCTTGTGGGGTAGGAGAGCCATAATATTTTAATTTCTCCAGACAGTTAATAAATTTAAAAGTACTTTTAACGAAGGTTTCAAAGTAACGAAAAGGGATCACAATTTTAATTTTCTTTTTCTGTACAGAGGTTCATAAATACCCACATAGATAAATACATTTGGTGATTGTTTTGAGTTCCAAAATTTGAAATAACGAAAACAGTGTCAGTTAAAGTTTGTAAATTCATTGTTTCACAGCGGGGTATGGAAATAATTCACAGAGACTGAGTCACGATTTTGTATTTTCTCTTTCCTATTTTTTTTTTCTCTGGCCTCTATTTTCAAGAACAGAAAAAATATTGACTTGTTATCTAAAACCGAATATTTATTTCATCGTTATTCTTATTCGATGTAGCTTTTTTTTCCTCAACATAATTTTTTCCGGTTTCGTGACGTATCCGGGATGTTTTGGAAGCGAATTTGTTGGAACTTTGACATGTTCACAGCAGTGGTCGAATCTGCTTAAAAAAACCTTCAGGTTGATCTCTAGGGATTTTGAATCCGCAGTTAAGTGTGAGAACTTCTGATTGGAATGTAAAAATTTGGGAAAGTCTATTTGTACAAGACAATAAAACATTCACCCTTCAAGGGTATGTAATGTCACGATTTAAAAGCTCTAACAGTTTGCCATATCCGAATACCGCCTCATTTGAAGGCTCTTAGCAAACGTCTAGGCTAGAATTGGCGGCGTTTAATTCTATTTTTTTTTTTTATAAGCCCACGAGCGTAAAGTAACATCATCGCCCGAGATGCATGTAGAATTTCGGGGTGATCGGGAAGACCAGGGCGAATTTACAGCGTTCTACTTCCGGTGGATTCGTTTGGTTGGCGTTTCTCACAGACGTATCTCAGAAAGTATTACGTAGAAGGCAAAGAGGATAAACGAAAACCCACCTAGACTACTCTAGATCAGCCCAAGAAATTCATACCATGCCAAAAACAACCACTCGAGCAGGGTAAATTTGTCTTTATTCAATACTAGTCCAGATCGTTTTAAGGTTGAGAGCGCGAATGTTCACCCATAGCGCAACGTGAACATATTTGCATATTCACAGAAGTTCACTGTTTGAGCTTGGGCTTCCAGAGGTTGGACGTGAATTTAGATAAAAAAAAATATATTTTTCTTCTGACATTATCTTCTTTATACCCGAAAAAGAAATTTCGAACAGTGCTGAAGTATTTTTAGTTTTAATTTTACTCCATTATTTTAATTTTTTTTCTGTTACAAAAAAATTAATTCTTCCGCAGGTTACGCTGAAGAACGTCATAGCTAAAACAGGATCTACAGAGCAGAATTAACATGCTGATGTCTCCAAAAGCTACCTAAAAAATCAGACTCAATTCAATACCATCAAACACCTGCAAAATCTTGAAACATGTCGCTACGAGGAGGCAAAACGCGTGTAACATGTTCAGGGCAACATTGTTGCAAAATGTTGGGTTGATTTATTGTGCACATTTTCCGCACTCAAACAGAAACGCTAAACGATTTTATATGAAAAAGGACACCTAAAGCAACTCATTCAGATGCCAACAGTCCAACAGTCACCATCATGCTGCTCCTGCCACTCTTACTATTTTTTCCTTCTTTGTTAGAATTGATGTTTGCAGTGCAAAACAGCGCTCTCTATCGATATCCAACAGGCCGTGTTTCATTTGGTAAATTCAAGTGTGATCCCTACTATTACTTATGGGAAGAGAAACTTGAATCGTCCATGGTGAAAGATCAATTTGAATGCAGTTTCTTTTGCATTGGTGAACCAAAGTGTTCTTCGTTCAACATTGCAGCGTTTCCGGACTCCGAAGGGCTTTATCTGTGTGAGTTGTTGGCTAATGACAAGTTTAGAGGAACAGGAAATTCCTTCAAAAATGCCTCATTCCATCATTTCAGTCCTTGGGTAAGCTCGCCTTATATATTTGGTGATTTTACTCGTATGTTAATTAATAGAAAATGCATTATTCGGAACGTTTTATTTCTTTTCAGTCTCCATGTGAAAGCGCTCCTTGTAAGAACGGCGGTGTTTGTGTTCCTGAATATGAAAGGAATTCCTATCAATGTGATTGTAAGCCTGGATTCTGTGGAACTCACTGCAAACGAGGAGGTACTTAATCCATCTCTTTTATTTTTTATTTTTCTTTTGCATGTCGCAGAAAGTGAAAATACTGCCAACAAGGGTAGCACATCAATTAAGAAACACCGTATGTACTATGTTCAATTTTTTTTTATTTTCCAAGGTGATAAAAGCTGCAGTCAGATCAAATTGTGTTCTCTTCCAAGTGGCTCCTACGACATCGACCCGGATGGAGAGGGTGGGGTAAAACCATTCAAAGTCTACTGTGACATGACTGACAAGGACGGTGTTGGAGTGACAGTTGTCAACCACGATAGTGAAAGCAGAACCCTGGTAAATGGGTTTGAGACCCCTGGCAGTTATTCGCGCAATATCACTTACATGGAGACAGATCTGGTTCAGCTGGCAAGTCTAACAGCTTCATCCGTTCACTGTGAGCAGTTTATAAAGTATGAGTGCTATAACACGGTACTCTTCCGCAACAGTAAAGCAAACGGCTGGTGGGTGGCACTCAACGGCGAGAAAATGTTTTACTGGGGAGGAGTCGATTCTGATCAATACAAATGCGCGTGCAGCTTGAACAACACATGCGCAGACCCTAATTACGACTGTAACTGCGATAAGAATGACAACACATGGCGAGAGGACAGCGGTTTTCTCACTGACAAGTCTAAGCTTCCAGTGACACAATTGAGATTTGGAGATACCGGCATTACTGATGATGGTATAGATGAAAAAGCATATCACACACTTGGAAAACTGAAATGTTATGGACTTAAGTGAGAATGAATATTGACTTTTCTTGGTTATTAGATGCATAACATATTCTTTAGACTCACTTAGTTGATATCTATGAGAAAAGAACTGCTTATCTATTCATAAAGTTCGGAGAAACTAAAAGAAATGGAGTTCGTGTAAAGGATTGAATTGACTCTTTGGGAATTTTTTTAGATTAAGAAAAAGATTATGCGCATAAATATACCTTTCTTAGTTAATTTTTATCGGTTAGTATATATCTATCGGAAAAATAGGAGCTAAGGTTGGAAATAGCAATCTGCAGCCAATGTTTAGGGGTCGTCGAAGTGTTGAAACAAAGATGCATGTAATACCGGTAACACCACGACTAAAGTTTACACAGGACGCATGTCAGTTTAGATCGAACAGAGCATGACTCTGTATTTCCTTATTCTTCTTCTCTTTGACCAGTATTTCCACACGATGTATTACCACCCTTAAACACCTAAAATGAAAGCAATATAGGTTTATCAATATTGTCATATGATGAGTAAGTATTTATTTGTTATTTATATTTGCATGTACTGCCCCTGGAACGAACAACGAACAGCGAACAAAATTGTAAATTCACAGATTTTGTATTTCTCGTTTGGCCAGTTCCTCCACAACATCTCAACACGCGATCTGATAAAATTGTAAGATGCTGTGTTAAAGTGTTGCGCGCGTTTGGCCAGGCCTTAAGGGTGCGATTGGAAACAAAGTTAGCGAGTAAATTAAGATGCTGCGTTGAAGTGTTGCATGCGTTTGGTCAAGCCGCAAGGGTGCGGTTGGGAGCAAGCTTAGCCTGAAAATTAACAAGAGACAAGAGGAGAACGTAGAATTTTCGGAGAATTATTTAGGAAAGAGTTATCTTCATGTTACGAAGGAACTTTCGCACCTGGTTCAGTTCAATGTCCATATGCTAGATGATAATTGTTCGGATTTCTTGATCATGCTTTCCTGTCTCCGTAAACTATTTTCAACCTCGGCTAAGAGGTTGATAAATTCATAAACTTTCACGTGAGCATAACAATGATTGCTCTTTCATGATTGGCTGTTGCCTCGATCGACTTTGTCTTTACATTTGGAACTCGTTGTAAAAGCAGGTAGTTTTCAAGGAATCTACTCACTGAGAGTCAAAGTCCAAATTAGTTAAAAGCGAATTTGTTTTGTTTAAAACGTGAAAGCACGTTAAAGCACGCATTTGTTTTAAAAGATTAGGAATTTTTTCTTGACGAGTGCAAATGAAAACCTTTCAAAACAACACAAGTAATCATAAACCACGAAATGCACTCGTAGATCACACAGTTTTTATTTTATCATATTCTCAACAGATAACTTTATAATGCTATATAGTATTTGATATCTATTCAAAACACTTTTCAACTGATAATACGATGAATGTGGCAAACAAAGACAAACGCAATGATTTACAACAGTAAAAGTGTTAGTTAATATTTAGGAGAGAAGGTGTGGGATGTGAACAAGGATTTGGAATCAGAGGCCATCGTCAATGAATGGATTTGTTATCAGTAGGTTCATTGGAAAGTTTTGATTAAGAGTAAAAGTAGCAGCGGAAGTAGCAGTGGGTAAGTGGATGACTGTGCCATTAATAAGCCAGGAAATTTAAAACATGAATAAAAAATTTTGGGCAATTTGTAAAGAAAACTTGAATAAGATGTAACTCGCCTTCCTTTTTCCAGCCTTGTCATAAAATATAACCTTAATATTATGCCTTATCTTCCACCGACATATTTAATTAAAACGGTTTCACCATGAGCTCAGTAGAAATTGAAAAATATACATTTGAAAGGACTCACAGAATAACTCTCAAACTCAGAGTCTTTTCAACTCTGTGCAACTTTTACACATGTGTGGCGCTGAGTCGCCCGCTGAACAAGAATACCTCGGTGGTATGGATGAGCCCGCTATGCATTGGCTACGCATGTTAAAAGTAGCATCAACCAAATTCGGATGCATTCATACGTTTAGTTGTCCACTGAACATGGTAATGTAAATTAGCCCGCAATGAAGCTGGCTGCGCATGCTAAGTGACATTTTATACCCACGATAGATCGTTGAAAGGTCCAACGGTACCAAATTTTAGCGGGTTGATTCAGCTTGCAATGCACATGGTTCACAAGAGGGCAGCACAGTTGCCCATCAGTTGATCAGAGTAATAGAGACTGTGAGAATGAAGGAAGTATAAGAGATGAAGAGACTGTGTTTGCCTTGATCGGCCTAGGCTTAAGCTTCTTTCGTCGCCTTGGACTTGCAGGAAGAGACGACCGTGAAATCACTGGTAGAAAAAACTCTACCAATATGTAACATTTAAGGCTCTTAAGTACATTTGAGGCGATTTTTTGGTGACTGTAAATCATGGTTGAGTCCATAACACTTAAGTTTTCCAAGCGTGTGATGTCCTTTTTCATCTGAGCCATCGCTAGCGATGCCGGTATCTCCAAATCTCAATTGCGTCACAGGAAGCTTGGACTTGTCTGTGAGTAAACCGCTGTCCTCTCGCCATACATCGTCGTTACTGTCGCAGTTACATCCGTCGATAGGGTCTGCGCATGAATTGGTCAAGCCGCATGCGCATTTGTAGTCAACAAAATCGACTCCTCCCCAGTATGTCATTTTCTCCCCACCACGTGACACCCACCATCCGAACATTTTACCATTTTTAAGGAATACTGAGTGATAGCAATCGTACTTTATAAACTGCTCGCAGTTAGCAGATGAAGATGTTAGGCTTGCCAATTGAACAAAATCAGATTCATCATATTTGACATTTCGGGAATAACTGCCTCTACTATTAAACCCATCCACCAGTGTTCTGTGTTCACTGTCATGACTGACAACCGTCACTCCAACGCCGTCCTTGTCGGTCATGTCACAATAGACTTTGAATGGTTTCACTCCTCCCTCTCCATCAGGGTCGATGAAGTAAGAACCATCTGGGAGATTACAAAGTTTGATCTGACTGCAGGTTTTATCTCCTTGGGAACAAAGAAGAAAACAATTGACACAGCAGTCTTCCTTCGTTTATGTGTTCTTAATACCCGAAAAACAATTTTCGACGCCATTGACAATCATCATAAATTATAATGAAGGATTTCTATAGCACCATATCCGGAGGCTCATGGCGCTTTTAGAACACTTTGCGGGAGACTTTAACCAGACGCATCGAGCAGTTAACGATTTTTTAAACTGATTTTAAGACCCTGAGTATTGGTTCGGTCTGGGACTTGATCCTTCGACCTGCCGCACGGCAGTCAGGTGCTCTAAGACATGAGCGGACCAGACGGAAACATTGTATGACAATACTTTTAGCCATTTTATTTGTACATGGCTATCCAAGTGTAAATCAAATCAAAAGATAATGCCCATTAATATTTTAAAGCAGTATTTTCAACTTATGATACATGTATCAGCTAAGATATTGACTGACTTAATACCTCCTTGCTCGCAGTGAGTTCCACAGAATCCAGGCTTGCAGTCACAGTGATAGAAGTTCGATTCATATTCAGGAACACAGACAGCACCGTTCATACAAGGAGCACTTTCACATGGAGACTGAGGAAAAATGGCTTCAAGTAAACCGTCTATTATGACTTTGACAGCAAAAGTAGATAAAAAAAGGAGAAAAAACCCAGAAAATGGCTAAAAAATGAGATTAAAACGGAACGAACAAACCAACACAGGCAGCATTTAGCTCGTTGCGATCTGCAATTCTTACCCAAGGGCAGTAATGATGGTAGGAAGAATTGGCGTGGAACCTTTCAGTTGATCTGTACTTGTCAGTGGCCAGTAATTCACACCGATAAAGACCTTTGAAGTCAGGATACGCTGCCATGTTGAACGAATAACACTTCGGTTTGTTAACGCAAAACAAGGCACAATGCGACCGATCTGCTACCATGGACGATGCTAGTTTCTCTTCCCATAGATATCTAAATGGATTGCAGATAAAGTTACCAAAATAAACAGAACCCGATGGAAAACGATAAAGCTGAACTTTTTCCATAGGAACTATCAACTTAAATTGGGCGGAAAGAAGGAGAACGAAAGCAAGAAATGCCATTGTATCTAAAGCAGGTGACAGATTGAATTTCGGTGAAACCCTAATGAACTGCACTTTACAAAAGGACTCTTCATGTGAAGTAGCACGTTTGCTTTGTTTTCTCGACTTGTTATTGAGTGGTGTCTTGTAACTCATGCCTAATTTATTACACCTGCCGGCGTTTTGTGCAACCTCATAAACGGCCCATTTGGGTTTCACGACAGCATTATTGGCTCGAGACTTAAGAAAGAACACTTGTTCTAAATTCAACGTGTAAGCTTGAAGTCTCTGCCATCTTACTATCATATATCTTTTGCGTTTGGTAAGTTTACTGCGTTAAGTTCAATATCAATACGGAATCCCTTAAAATGAAATGGTACAATTGTTGCAAACAAAAATAGTTTGTTAGTTTTGATTCAGTACTTTCGCACAGGAATGCGTTTCTTTCTTTGATTCTGAAAGAATGATTCTAAATCAACGTTCAAACACAAAGAAAATATAAATATACGTACAATTGCATCAGTTCTTCTCTAACACAATAGCCTCGCCTTTGTTGTGAATCGGAATTGACGCGATGCCTTTGGCAACAAATTTTAATGTTAACTTATTGGATTTTCGGGACAGGAAAAACTGCCCCGAACCGTGTTTGCTGTAATTAGAATTGTTCTGGTGGATTTCAGTTTAGTTATTATTAAATGAGAAGTCTAATTTGATATTGGAAAATTGCAGCGCTGCCTCTAAAAAATGAATGTGATATGAAATTACGCAACTTGAGATAAAATCATAACTGCCAGAGAATTCCATTGTCAAATTATTTTCTGATATCATTCTATGCATTATCAACATCAAAACCCAAAAAGACCCGATCGTTATGGATATTTGAATAAGTTTTTTATTTCACAAAAGTAAATTAGGTGTTATAAACGTTCTTAACCAAGCATTGTTGCAATCAATTGCTCTAAATATTTTTTTGACTTTTAATCAAAACGTTCACGTGCAATACTTTTTGTCGTGTCCAGATAACGTTCATTATTTCATTCATGATCTCTCCCCCTCTTGCACCTTCGTTATTTTTTAAATCATTTCACATTACCACGCTATAGATAATTGCTTAGTTCACAAATAAACTGATTGTCATAGAGTACAACCTGCATGGTCTTACTATAAATACTGAGGTTTGTTCAAGAATGCGGGAGAAAAAAAAATTTAATTACTTCGCAGCGGTGTATAATACATAGTATATGTATGCACGCTTTCTCGAGAGTTCGGTTTCACGTCAATCCTCTAGTTTTCCTTCAACTAATCACAGCACTGCCTACAAGCCGGCTGTACCGAAACATCTCAGACACATCGGCAACAACTAACAGCGAAGAAGACGCTGACACCGAGCACTAATAACGTAACAAAGGCCACCTTATGAGCAATCTTCTTCTTCGAATGCCAAGTTATGGGCACTGCTTGCCATGCTGGGCAAGCAAATGTGACCAAAATCGTCCGGGATGTTTGTGGTTTTTTTATCGTCCACTGCACCAGCTAATTGCATTTTAGCGAATTGCGGATGACGTACTTTTGTAGGGAACAATTTTACATCTTTAGTGTGTTGGCCTAAGAATCGCTTTTGTTGTTTATTGCTGAATCCTTGTTATTGAGAATATGGCTCTGTAATAGCCCTCAGGCGATAAAAAACTATTGAAAAAAATAAATTCACCAACCTGATAATCTATGTCTTTCCTTACCCATTTTTAAGGTTTGGTAGAGGGTATTGGATCAAGAATATATCATGAAGAAAAAATCCCTTTATCCTTCCACACTGAGTTTACAGAAACGTTACAGGATTTAAGTCATTTCATCTTATTCCAAACTGCGCGTAGACTTTAAGTCTACCAAAGCGATATCAGTTTCATGAGCTGACCACGTCCTCATCAACTAATAATAATACTCAGTAAAATTGGACATCTCCAATTAAACTTAAAGTTGTACTTTGGAAATGTGTTTTTGCCCTCATGTATTTTCTTTGGTCAAAAATTGCTTACGCTTTGAGTGCTTTGACCACCTTTGTGAAAAGGAAAATCTAACTTGTATATGTAATGAAAGATGTACACTTTTGGCTCCCAATTATAATTCAAATGTTTCATTTCCAAAAGATGTTGTTCTCGCTGAAAAGCATTTCGAAACAATCTCCAGTAAGCAACTAAGATAGGACAGTCTCTCAGTCATGTATTCTTGGGCTCAAATTTTGAACTTGCACCTAATTTTGTACCCTCCTGCGAAGCCATTCCTAGATTTGTCAAGCAACACACCTCTCTCATTATTCATGGAGAGGAGTATTGTGTGAAGGCATAAGAATGGCTGCAAGGAAGACTTCCAAATTTGGTTGTTGTGAGCAAATATGTAATGATGAAATAAGATGAATTCCTGTAAAATCATTGAATATAGAATATTACAAAGCCAGATGAGGTAATGAAACTACTGTTTTCTGAACCTTTAGGTGCTCACTAGTTCCAGGTTCCCTTATTCTCTTCTTCCACCCTTCAACTTCTGATTCATAGCAAGATTCGAGGGCTACTGGGGCAGAGAATGAAAACAGAGCGTGTTCACTGCAGCTTTTTGTACCTCTGCCTAAAGCTTGAATAAGTCCATTATTATGTTTCATCAACCAAGAATGGATCAAAAATGATTCTTTTACAGTCACAGTGTAACGATTGAGTGGTAGCATGCCGAGGCAATTGCAATTAATACACGTATCCTGATCGTTGCACCAGTAAATTACTGGATAACCAAGAAGAAAGCCGAAAACACAAGGAATACACCACATGCTATCGTTAATATTACAACTATTTAAATCTATCACCTCTGATTGTTTAATGGCATTGTCTCTTCGCGTTTCGTTCGAACGCTGATTTCCTAATTTCTGATCTAAAATGTTCACAATCTCAGAGAACTGTTTGTAAACGCTTTTCGAAGCATCTGATTCCAACATACGAGGCTCTGACAATGTTCCTGAAACGTCGATTAAAATAAGCTCTTCTCGCTCCACAGATTTCTTTAAATGACTCCCCAAATATCTCAAGTCAGCGAAGAATGTGTCGTCGCCAACTCGAAGAACGTCCAACGCATAAGGAACAACACTGTCTGAAACCAGGGCATCGATCAAAATGCTTGCGTTCGTTGCATCAATGACCGCGTAATCGAAGAGGAGCGAGGGTTTCAGACCAAGGTAGACGTTTGCAAGGTCTAAAAGAAACGATCGGTAACACTTTTTACTCATTTTACCAACACACCGCTGGAATAACGGGTTCCGTTCACAAGGAAATGACTCCGCCATGATGAACAAAAAGCCATAGGCGTTCCTCGGTATTAGTGCCCAGTTTCTTTTCTACTACTCTTGGGAGCGAGGCAATTCTAAAAAAAAAAGAAAGAAAAAATTAAAAAGTCGGTTGCAGTATCATTCGTATTTTGTATGATTCATCTTGCAAATTTGCATTTTTTGAAGGTTTTTGTTCATAGTTATCACCCAGAATGGGTCTTTGAGCTCTTTTTAATGACCTCATATGGCTGTAAATAACTAAATAAATAAAACAATAAGCAATGAATAGAATGGGAACCGTATCTGAAAGCAGGAGCACAGTGACCTTTGTCATGTCCTCAGTTACGCTAGCGTTGCCGCATTCCTACTAGATTGTAATGCTGTATGTACATACATCCTCTTTCTTCCTTGCCCAACCCCTTATCTGGTGTGCAATATACACCCCAGTTATGATTAAGCATAAACAAAAAGACAGAAAAACAAGATTGTTTTATTTTACTTTATTTTCAATTCTGCTTTACTCAAACGACTAAATTTAAAACTACTTTTGGAAAAAGGACTTCTTTTCCAGGAACAAAAAGGGGATAAAATACACACAGTACCATAACAGGATATAAAGAAACACCAAATAAAGCAATAACACCTACCTACATGTTTACAAGGTTAAGTATTATAGCTGAGAACACAAAAAAACAAGGGGGATTAAGTACAGTTGACCCTAAGAACTTAAATCACCCTCTCAGAACAAGCTCTCACAAGTGCAACAGCCCAGGCCTGTTTTAGATGAGCCAGCATCTCTAACAACTTTGCCACTTGAGTTGCTTAGCCTATGAGAACCTCCAACTGGCTTATCAAAATGAAATTCTTGGTTGCCCCTAAAAAGGTTTGATTGTAAGATAAGGAGTCTACTGTACAGACAGGGGAAGAGTCACATGATCAGTCAATTCACTTAAAATGGAACCCAGCAGTCAAACATCTCCACACCTGACAATATTTTAATGAGTAACAGAAGTGCTTCCAGGCAAATTCAACAACACAGCTGACGTGAAGTTAGCTCCCTTTTTGAGAGTCTCAACATCTCTTTACAGATTTCTAAGAACACTTTTTCCCCTACGTTTTGCATGAAAGCAGTCATTTCTTATGTTTTCTAGCTGTCCACTGGCTCATGCCTGATATTTGACTGCTGTGGTCAACCAACACGTTACA